GATTCTCTGAGTGATCTTTTGCATTTTAGGTTCTCCTGAAGAAGTATTTAGCCTTTGGCTTCCAACTGTAGAGTTCTTTTTCTTCCCTTCAAACCAACAGAACCTTCCTGCTGCTAACTAAGCACTGGTTCTGACCCAGAAGAGCTTTGGCCTGAGTCCCTTAGGTGCTATACACATCCAGCCTGTCAGTAAAGTTGGCCTTCTTCATGGTTTGCAGGGAGCATCGAGTCCCAGCAGGAGTGCCTTATATATTTACTGGGTTGCTGTTTTCCGGGAATGGGAAACTTGCTATTGAGCCATGCAAGTAGATTTTTATTAGTCCATTAAGGAAGTTAAAGTTTAGATATTAGGTCTAAAGTCACAGAGGGAATCCATACCTTTGATGAGCAGAATCTTCATTGTGGTAACTTGAATGAGAATGGCCCCATAGACTCATGTTTGAATGCTTGGTTCTCAGTTAGTGGAACTGTTTGGGAAGGATTAGGTGTGGCCTTGTTGGAGGAGGTGTGTCGCTAGGGTGAGCTTTGAATTGTAAGCAAGCCTCCAATTGAATGTTTTCTTTATAAGAATTGCCTTAGTCATGCGTCTTTCACAGCACTAGCACAATGACTAAGACAGTCATCCAACCTCGTTTTTCAAGCTCTTGCTAACCTAAGATGTGCAAGGTACAGTGATTTACCAAAGGCCCTTCAGGTGATTCTTGCCTCTGGTTACTGACTTAATTAGGTCAGAACTTGTAATTAGCAAGGCATTCACCACAGGTGTCAGTGGGAGCGTGGCTAAGAATAGACACTGAATGGCTTTGTGTCAGTCTTCTGGGGCTGCTATAACAAAATATCATAGTTCAAGTGGCCTGAACCACAGACTTAAATTTACTTCCATAGTTCTGGAGTCTGGGCCGTGTAGCTCAAGGTGCTGGCCAACTTGTTTTCTGTGAGTCCATCTTCCTGTATGCAGACCCAGTACCTTTTCTCTGGGTGGGAAGAGAGGAAAGTGAATTTTTCCTTGTCAATTATGATACTAATATGATACAGATGAACCTTTGATTTCTATGCCATCCCACAAAACTCCTTTTTCTAAGTTTATTGTGGGTTGGGGCTTTTTTTTAAAAAAAAAAAAAACAAAACATATGTATTTTTAGTCTGTAGCAAAAGCTCAGGCCACTGGAGCTGCCTAGCCTGGTCTTTATTCTTCACAGGAAATGATCGTGTAGAAGGCTTTATTCCACTTGCATCAGGAGCAGTCACCTTTGGACTTTCATCTTCTAGTGAATTGCCTGCCACATGGTAGGGCTTTAGCTATTTGCTGATGAATTAATATCAGTGATGACTTCTTGTTGCCTTTTTGTACCTGAAGTTTTCTTGTGGCTGTTAAGTCCATGCTTTCAAGTTAGGTAGCCAGGGCGTGGTGTTTCAAGGGGTCGTTACTGCATTAGATCCTGTGAGCAGTGGTTTATATAAGGGAAATGGTTCTAAGTTAAGTATGAAGGAATAAGGTGCTGGGGGGCTGTGTGATGGGAGGGGAAGGGGAAGTCACAGGAGACCCACACTAAGACATTGGCTTGTGGTTAAAGATAAAATTTGCATCTCTGTTTCTAATTTTCACAACAGAAAAGCATGATACTATTATGTTTCTCAGTTTCTCTTAAGTTGTTTAGGAATAAGACATTTTTGTAGCAGCACTACATGCAAGGAGGAATTTGTTACATGGGTCACAGAATTAAGAACTTTGACCTTTCTCTTTAGACATTTCTGGCAACACTGATAGGATCTCTTTCTCTTTCTTTCTTACTCTCTCTTTCTTTCTCCTTCCTTCCTTCCTTCCTTCCTTCCTTCCTTCCTTCCTTCCTTCCTTCCTTCCTTCCTTCTTTCCTTCTTTCTTTCTTTCTTCTTTTAATAAAAGAAACACTGAAGTCTGTGTTAGTTTATTTCAAACTTATTGAAATCCAAAGTTACGAAACTAAATGACATATCCAGAAAGTATTTCTTTTGGTAACTCCAAGTGTGAAGGCAGCTGTGCAGTTTCCTGGTGCTTACCTCAGTTCAAGCAACAGTCCAAACGAGGAAATGAGACTACACCCCCCCAAAAAAACAGACCTGCACCCTGGTAATGAGCTGAAGGAAACTGTCACAGTCTGTGATCGCCGTGATTTCTATCTAAACCTTAGAAGCTGTTCTTTGCCTGGCATTGCCAAAGAAATGAATTGACACAGATTGACTTAAAACTGCCTGAAAAGACGGAGGAGATCATTTTTTTAGTTTGACATAGGGACCATCACCCTATAGAATGTTTTAATTCACTTTGCACGGGAGTCTGGAATAAAATGAGAAATATTCAAGGCTTCCCAGTCCCAAGGATGATAGTTATTAGGAATGCACCATGGAATGTTAGGGAGTCGTATTTCAACATTAAGCAAAGGCTCTGTTGAACATTTCTTGCTTCCATCTTACTTCACATTGCTAATAATTGTTTATTTCCTGGATTTCTAAGCCTACATTTTAAGGCTTCCTTTTAATCTCTTCAGCAAAGTACATAAAGATCCTTAAAGCAAAACTGCCTTATTGTTTCCAAATGGCCCTTTGAAAAATTTGAAAGTCACCTCTTCCTTTAGTGTCAAAGCATGGATTTCCTTTTGGGACTCTTCACTTTAGTACAGCAGGCTTCCAAGTTTCGATCACGACTCACAGTAGAACATGCTTTGAACCAAAGCTGCACAAAGCTGTTCTTCACCCCTCGTTGGCAAGCTGCATTCTGAAGCTTCCTTCCAGAACCCACACCGAATTCATGACCAGTGTGTCCTGGCTGGCAGTTTGGAACAAAACACACACACACACACACACACACACACACACACACACACACACACACAACTGGCATGCCTTGTTCTGAAGTTCCAAGACTATGTTTTTCAATTATTGCAGGAAGGAAAAAAAAATGCCTTCTCTTTTGCCTCACTGTGAGGGGATAGACTTGGTCATTGGGATACCCTCTCCTTTTAACTTGGTTCTTGATGCCTTTCGTAGTTAAAGGTATCTTCTGGATTCAGAGTGAAAGCTCCTAGCATTCAGTAGATGATTATATCCTTTCTTGCTATCGCAGTGGGCTTCTGCCATCGAGCTTCATAGTTACTGTGTAGAGATGAAAGCCACGATTCTTTAGTTGGCTGTAATTCTAAGGCAGTAAGAGTCTCATAGAGCTGGAGACTTCTCACTTCTGCTTTTGAGAATTCTTATTTGTGGCCACATTCTTGAATGTATTAGTGGAAGTCTGGCTTTGTATGTCAAGGGCAGATGGAAGGGTCTGATGTTATAGCCACCTGTTCCGTCCTCTCTGAGAGCTAGCTTGCTTTCTCTTCTTCAGTTGCACTGATTAGAAGATACTCGGGACTGAGTATTAAGGGAAGAAGAGAGGAATAGGGAAACCGATGCCAGCCGCTAGTTAAAATGTTTGTTGATTTCTCTGCTGGGTCCCAGGGCCACCTCTAACCAGCTACTTAGCACTTTCTCTGTGGCTCCCTTCACTGACAGTCTCTTGTTCTGGGGACTGGAAGACACATTTCGCTATCAGCAGGACTCTTTTGCGGTGTTTGAATTGATATCTGGAACATTCTGGATCTAACCCAAGTCTATGGTCTGTGAGGCCAGCTTGGTGGGACGGAGGCTTACCGAGGCCCCGAGTTTGGGAGAGGAAGGCCGTGTGGCACAGCAGTGCTCTTCCTGTTCCTGGAAGGGAGGCTCGCTGACACCTTTTCTCTAGGTTGGTTCTCTCTGGTTGAGCCATTGAGTACTGAAGAAATATTTTCCTGGCAAGGCCAAAGCAAGCGAGGAAGGGCAGGCTGTGCTCTGGCTTGTGGGAAGTAGACAAACAGCACAGATGTGGGCGTCTGGCACACTGACTCAGATCCCAGCCCAGGTACTTCCTTAGTAGCTATGTGACCTTGGGCAACGTTGCCAGGCTCCCATTTTCTCACATATAAAATGAGGCTGATAGAATAAAAACGTTCAAGCTTTAACGGGAATTTTAGGGCTACAGTGCTATTTGCCGAGGTGGTCAGCACGTGGGGTTCACACAGCTTGGTCTTCTGTGTGTGGAAGCCTTGAAGGGAGAGAACCAGGTGGGAGCACTGAGCTGATCCTCCAGGTCCCTACCTGCCTAGGTCAGCAGTCCCCAGCTGATGTGGGCAGGGGTGCACACCACCACCTTTCCTAAATCAGCACGTCCAGGTGAACGTTAGAGAGTCAGTCACATCTGTCCCCTTTTGTACAGTCCCGGGCTCAGGCTGCATTCTTTTATTGGACATCTAGGAGTAGGAGAGAACTTATGTGCTTGGGATGCCATTTTTTGCTTTCATCCGTGGAATTAAGATGCCTTACTCTGGGGTCTTTGGCCCTGATGGAATAGAAATCTGATTAGAGGCTCTTGGTATTGTGCCATAAATCATTACCCTTCTACATTCTGTTCCTATAAAACACAGATAACAATGCGGCTCCATCTTTTAGGAGTTTGAGTGCATTAGCTAATGATCAAGAGACCTCAAAAATACCAAATTTCCATGAGTGCCAAGAAATTTTGTAATGACACATTTGCATTATTTTGCTGGACATCCTTAAGAGCTGCGTTTTAAACAAGAGAAACCTTGGGCGGATTTCTCGTTTCTTAATTGGAGAGCAAGAGCTGAACCCCTGGGAATGTTTCAGGATGTTAACTCTCAGGAGCTTGGGGGAAGTCCTGAAGTAGCCCAGGAACAACTGGCTTGGGTTGCACAGACCTGGAGGACGAGTGTGAGATAGAAGTGTAGTTGTGTCCTCAGAGAGACACCTGGAAACCTTTTTCCTCTAGGAAATCATTTTAGGACTGAAGGGCTTCTTCCAAGATGTCACTGGTAATGTGCTGAATCCCTTCAGTCAGAGCCTTAAAAGAACAGACATTTTAGAAAAGAAGTGCACACGTGGTGATAAACTGGTGCCATTTGTTAGCTGACGTGTTTTATTTTGTTTCAGGCAGCGGAGCGACAGCCGTGGTTCAGGCCGCCCTCTGCAAACCCAGGCAAGAACGTGTAGCCATAAAGCGGATCAACCTGGAAAAATGCCAGACGAGTATGGATGAGCTATTAGTGAGTATAAGGGGAGGGGATGCCTGCTGCTGGCTCTTCCTGGGCAAGCAGGAAGACCTGGGCTTGTGGAGATGGGTGAGACGAGAGCACAGTGTGGTGGTGGTGGATAGGGTTTCTTGGGAATCTACCACAACCCTGAGTCTTTCTCTACCTCATGAATAAGTAGCTCTGATGTGCAGTATTCAGGCTGCACAGCCCCAGTGGTCTCAGCGTGACACTCCATTTTATACACATTCTATGTACAAAGGAGCACATTCCACACGCTGACCTGAGGTCATGTGATTTCTGACCCCAGAGTTCAGATGTCTGCCTTCTTCTGGGCCTTATCTAAGAGTTCATGACACAGCAATGAATTCCTCCAGAAGTATTTTTTTTTTGGTCATTTCTGCTTTTATAAGTCACAAAATCATATACAACTTTAAGTTTTTGGTTTTCTTTTTTTCTTTTGTTGTAATGTACTATAGATTGCATTTGGCTGACGATACAAGTTTGTTACTTTTATGTGGTTCCCTTGTATCTCCATTTGAAATGAAGCACTTACATAAATAAATAAATAAATAAATAAATAAATAAATAAATAGCTGGAGCTTGTCTGTGTAGCTCTGACTACAGTAGCATTGGTTGGTTGAAGGAACATTTGCTTTGGGCTTAACTGACTCATTATTAAATGAACAGCTTAGCAAATGGTTATTAGTTACCCAGCAAACTGTGAAGGGTTTTAGAGCTTAATCTCATAAATATAGTTGTCTTTCTGTCTGCCAGTTTCATTTTTTTTCCCTTTTGGCCATTTATTTCAGGATAAAACTGCAGTGGAGGAGTTAACTGATGGGTTATCCCGACACTAATCCCAGCACAAATATTAGTCCAGTAGCACCATACAAGCTACAAAGTATAATGACAGTTGGCTCCACATAAAGAAGCCTTTTGTTTTATTCTACACTGGGAATGGAATGCCATTAACAAGAGCTTTTTGTCTCTCCTCAGAATATAGCTTTTATTTCAGGCTTAATTACAGTACACTATAGTATAAATTAAGTTCAAGGGTAAAGCTGTACTTTTCCAGATCTGTTTGGCCTTCCATTTTTAATAAGTTACACAATGCATAGATCTCACTGAGATTGAAGCAAAGGACTGCCAGCCAAAGCCCAGATTAAAGCAAGGGCTTCTGCAATTAAATGCTAATTTAAAAAGTCATTCATTTATTTTTTTTCTTCCCTCTCAAAATTTCAGCTGTGCACGGCTTAATGGGCATCAATGCTGCATAGGACTTATCTGTATCTGACGGTGTAGCGACCAGCACAATTGTGCCTTTGTCGTTCACCAGCCCTCAAGGTCACCTTCCCTGAGTGGAAAAAGCACTGACTGAACCGTGGGGAGAGTTGGGGCCCCTGCTTCAGCCACTAGCTTGTTTTTAACTTCAGTTGCATTGCCTAATAGCTTTGGGTCATTTTAAGAGAGAGCTGAACTGGAAGATCTTGAAGGTCTCTTGGGAGTCTTCAAATTCTGTGGCTGTGCATGAGGGTGCATAACTTTTTTTCTGTTTTTGTTGTTTGTATTTCAGTGTGAACTGTACATTAACATTTGTGCACAGCCCAGCCACCTTTTCATTACCAGCCGGATATTCACATCGAGTGTACAGTCGGAGTGCCCTTGCACCGCAGTCTGGGAAGCAGCTTTGGGGCTGCACTGCTGCTGTGGTCTGGGCTCTTTCAAGCTCCTGGTTGCCCAGGGCTGTTGGTAGTTTTTTTTTTTTTTTTAATGACAGTTGACTAACAAGCCCGATGGCCCAGTTAGGGCCAGATTGGAGACCAACAGAGACTTCCTTACTCTAGTCTCTTTCTTCCATTTCCTAGGGCCAGAAAGCTTACCATCACAGGCTGTAGGCAACGTAGCTGTCCAGTTAAGGACTGGGCTCTTTATTCCTTTGTGCTTGGCTCCATCAGTCTGTCTGTTGGCAGTGGTCAGTTTATTTTTCTGACCCCGTTTCTCTCACTGTAGGGCCCATGCTGTAGAGAATACATGCATACTTATTTATTATAAGTATAATAAAATACATGTAATAAATAAATATAATAAAGTGATGGTGAAATTTCCAGTTTAAAGGATGCTCATTTAATAAATGCATTGCTTTGGTCTTTACATGACATTGAACCTTTGCTCTTTCAGTGCTTTGGTCTGGAGACGGTGGGGGGAAGGAAGCTGGTCCTTCAGGATATACTATGATTCCTAATTTCTTGTCACACAAAAAATGATTAAGGATTTGGAGTCTAGCCTGCCCAAGGTCATTAATTTAGCCTGCCCTTGCGGTCCAGATGATTGACACGGGAGCTTTGTGTGGAACAGAGCCACCGTGTCCTTTCGACGTCCAGTACTGCTGTTGCTTGCACTTTCATTATTCCCGTGGTTTCACATTTTGGCAGTGTTTGGACATCCGGTAGCCCAGTAATCCTTTAATTCCATGAGTGTGTATTATCTCCAGGTTGGGGCACTGCATCCTCTCACAGAGGGTGTCATGTGTTAACTGGAAACCATTGTTCTTAGAAGAAACAATGGCCACTGGGGTCTTTATCTTGTGAGAGCATTATGTCATAGAAGTCACAATTATCAACTATTTACTAGTTCTTGGAACATCTGCCTCCCTCAAGGAAGTTTTCACCCCCTGATGCCTACTCCCTGGTCTGTTCCCAAGCCTAAATTCTCTCCCGGGGTTTATGGCCCTTGTCCCATGGTAAGGGGAATCTACATGCAGAGCCATCTGTAATGCCACACAGCAGTTTTGGACAGTTGACCACACAGACTCACTGTCCCTTTGACTGTGGTCATGGCCTTGGCTCCAAGTGTTGCTGAAGAAGGAGACAAATTGTTAAAAGTCTTAATCACTGTGCCAGTTTCTCCAAGAATATAAATGTCAGATGAGCTCATTGGCACTGAATAACTGCTGATTTAAACTTATCTGTTGAAAATGAATTCTGCTATAATTCTTCAAGGTTAAGCTGGTTGAAGATATAAAAATACATTTATCTCTTTATTGGATACTTACTTAAGCATCATTTCTGTAGTACCCTTAGTCTATGAGAAAGTTAAGTTGCAGGTGTGTATATTGAATTTCAAGGCTAGTTGTTCATGTAAAACTTGGTTTTATGCAATTCAACAGTAATTAGAGGCGAGCACTCCACAGTGAATGGTTTCATTCAAGTATTGGCTGACATTTTAGTACTCTAAACTTGTGCTCTCTGTATCCTTTTTGCATTTTTCTTGTCATTTTGGAGTTTACCTATAACTGATAATAGCCTGTCAGGATGAAATGATTGTGGTGGGTAAGGTGTATGGCTGGTCTGCTCACCATGGTCTACTCACCCATTCCACAGTGATACTGCTATGAATGGAAATTTGAAGTAGCATATCACCTCTGGAAGATATTTTTAGTTTTGAAGCAGGAATTCATACACTTCAGCCTTACCAACTGCTACAGAAGCTAGAGGTCCCTGTTCCGTGGGAAACCCTGGGCTAGCAAATTGACCTCTTCATGTGGGGAGACGAGAAGTGGGGTTGTTGAGTAGTGGCTGTCTTTCTTTCCCTCCATTGGTTTCCAGCCACTTGAGCAGATTGATAGACAGATTGCCGGCTCTCCAGTGGGAACTTGAGACTTGACTCAATGAGTCTGACCCATTGTCCTGAGGACTGGTGAGCTCCCAGTGGAGAGGGCTATGAGCTTCTTCCCCAGTTTGTGGTCAGCCGCAAAGGGTAGGCACACTATCCCAGGGCGCTTTTGACTTTTCTTAAAACCTGTTATGTAAGTGAAGAATTAATCATCTTTTTTTAAAGGCACTTGTCTTTTCAGACCTTCATCAGATGATAAAACTAATTCCATAAACATACCATTCATTTTTATTTACCTTATAATTCGACTCTGTCCCAGCCATCAGAATGCTGCCCTTTACATTATCTGCAGGCTGCTGAACATTTTTGACTCACCTGCTAATTTGGCTGTTTTGTTTTTGGTTTTGTTAGAATGTTGTTTTGTTTTGTTTTGACAGGATCTCACCATGAAGCCCATATTTGCCCTACACTTGACTTCTCCTGCCTCAGCTTCCTACACGCTAGGATTATAGATGTGTTGCCCAGCATCTTCTTGAACCCTAGGCTTTAACCATACACTCACCTCTTAACTTTAAAAAAAAAAAAAAAAAAAAAAAAACCTTGAGTTCCTACGTTTTTAGTCTGTCTTTGGTTGAGTTATGGGCAACTCAGCTTCATCTTCTCATCCATCCATGTACAGCAATGCCATTGAATATGCAGTTTAATCATTAGGCTGTACATTGTAGGAGAGAACCTCACCCAGGAGATGAAGCACTTGCCTCTTTAAGAGAGCAAGGCAGTGGGAGCAGGAGAGAAAAGAAAAGAAAGAAGAAAGGGAAAAACTAATTGAGGGATTACATTATGAAATCATGTAATGGGTTTTGCTTGTGATGGAGGACAGATGTGAACAAAGTCATTTGAAAGGGAACAATGACAATACAAAGTGATGGCTGCTGAAACTGTGGTGAGGAAAAAAGGTCCCAGAGCCAGCGGACTTGCCTACTCCCACTTACCCTCAGATGCTGCTACCTGGGGTAGGGTGAACTCACTTTCACCCCAGGCCTCCATCTCCTTCGAAGAGAATCACACTAGATGGCAAAAATTATGGTTCTTTTAAAGCTTAGTTCTTTAAAAACATACCCTTCGAAGATTCACTTAAACAAGAATACAAATTCCTAGCAAGTCGCGCTTACATTGAATGTAGTTATTGTGCTGTGCCAGTGAAAGTCTATTGTCCAGTCCTAGACTGGGGCTTGCAGTGCGCCCTCTTCTTCCCTAGGTATGGAATGACAGTCTTTCAGTCTCTTAAGTTGCCTTCAATTGTCAGAGTTCTGGCTTTTGCCCTTCTCTTTCTCCGTCCTCCTTGGAAAGGCAGTTTGCTCTGTCTCAGACGAGATTCATCGATTAATCATGACTTTTTT